TATATATATATATATCAGTGGCACAGAAAGTCATTACTTTGGTAACCCCCACCCAACATGCATTTATTTATCATTTCAAATGCCACAGTCAGCATCATTTAAAGCCCAACTCTTAATGGGTCCGTTTAACTGAAAAGGATCCCCCAGCAGTGGCTGAAAATGAAAAAAGCTGCTCTAGTTGCCGATCTCCAGACTCACTGATCCAGCACTTATCCTCTTCCAGGTTGAATAACATCTAGCATCATTTAACTCTTGTGCGGCAATCCCAGGGTAGTCAAGGCTCCACCCACACTCTGGACTTACAGGCAAAAAGCTGCTGAGAGCAGTACTCGGCAGCATTTAGAATACAGCCACCACCAAAAGAAAAGTAGACCCTCTAATACATGCTTTATCTAACACATATTTTCAATTTACAACTAATTGCTATACATTTTAGGGGCAAGGGGTTGGTCTTTCTTACCATCCTTTATAGTCCGGGCTAGTGCTGGGACTGAAAATGAATGAACAATGATCTCCTGACACAGGAGCTTCTTTAATCTAAGCTCAATATTTGAAAGCTGGAGAAAGGACTTCACATTTGTAACGTGTTTCCGTGGTGGGTATGATGCTATGCTTTTCAGCTCTGTTTTGTTAGCATTTTGAAAACCAACAGCAAAAACTTCCACTCCCCGTCGTCTTAGTTTTGCTGCTGGTTTAGTTGAATTATCTTTTGATTGCCCACTGGTCATAACCACAGCAATTTGCTGAACACCTTGGTGTGCTCTGCCACCATTTTCCTGAGAGAAGAGCTCCTTTCTGACAAAATTAAGGGCAGCTCCAGTGTGTGCCTCTCCTCCTCTGTAGGGCAGTTTAGTTATGTAGTCCAGAATTTCATATTTTTCCTTAAAGGTATCCAGTTTAAACTCCAGGTTGGGCTGGTCACTATACAGAACTAAGCCCACCCGAACTTTGTTGAAGCCAATCTCCAAACTATTGATAACCTTGTGCAAAAACACTCTTGTTAGCTGAAAGTTGGTATTACCAATACCACTGGATTCATCAATCACGAAAACAATATCAGCCAGAGAGGCACTGCTGCAAACTAGATAGAGAAATAAAAATAAAAAAATTGTTAGAAGAAAATATAAGTATTTTCTATAGTTCATTTTAAATAATATTTTGAAGCTACCGGACTTAGAAATTAATGAAAGGCTGGGCCAATATGGAAATTGTAATAACTGTGCTAGGATATAATGGCAGGTGAAAACATATTCTGTCATCATTTTGAAATTTTAGAAGAAAGTATTTTTCTGATACAATTTTAAATATATGAAAAGTATTTAAACAGCTATTGGCAATGATCATCCTAAAATGAACCTGTGGTTTACCATTGCATTGTAACAGGTTCACTTAGCTGCCCCTCTGCCAAGCTACAGATCATTTTCTTCTTTTTGCTGACCCAAAATTTCCATTTAGCTGGTGGAAGAAAAATATGTATGTCTCTTCTAAACGACTCATAATATGGAGTAAACAAATGGCTGAGGACTCTCTTCCCACCCCAATGTGGATGCCTGAAGGGCCATTTGCCAAGCACCTGCATTGTGGCAATGAAGGAAGAGAGTATGTTACATGTTCCCACCATACACACTCTTTATTTGATCTGGTGACCATTGTTCCCAGGATGCAAAGTACAGAGGACTGTAAAAGTTGTCAAGAGATCAGGATGTGGGCGTACAACTAACTTACAGTTGTGCCACTAGGACAAGAATTACAGTGAGATATCTACAACACAAAAACCTGCATTTTAGCCATTAGCCACATTCGAAACTAATATAATTTTTTTTCTTATATTTACAGTTGCACTATACACAAAACACTACATTGTGCTAATGGTACTGAAATAAAAAAAAGCCCAGTTGAACTCAGTTTTAATCAGCTATGTGTGGAGGTGCATCAAAATAAGGGTGTACAGTCTTAGCCCTCATTCACACTGGAATTGGCCCGCACGTACAGCTCCGTGCTGCGTTCATGGCCGTGCCGAGCAGCTCCCTGGAAGGACGGGTGCTGCGTGTGATTAGTACGGAGCCCCCGTCCTTCTCTATGGGATTACGTGGCCGTATGCCTCCCTACACTCACCCGCCCTGCACGACCGTGCAGGTGCGGGTGAGCGTACTCAGACGCTGAAACGATGGATCCTGTCTGCATCCGAGCAGGAAACACGCACCCGCACGGACCTGCACTTGAGGTGAGCGTAGGGGGCGTATGGCTGCGTAGTCCCATAGAGAAGGACGGGGGCTGTGTACTAAGCACACGCAGCACCTGTCCTTCCCAGGAGCTTCCCAATACGGCCCTGTACGCAGCACAGAGCTGTACGTGCGCGCCGATTCTAGTGTGAATGAGGTCTTAAAGTTCATTTTATTTAAAAAGCAACCACAGCCTAAGAAGAAGAGCCTCTCCTCTGTCAAGCATGCTGAGGAGAAGGATCCTTGCTCTTTGTGTGGAAGCAGTGGTTTCTCTGCAAAGGTCTGACATGCCCCCTGCTGAGCCAGAGCTAGATCTCTTCAATCAGCTGTGACCATATGTTTTGCTGCTTTCCAAGATACAGGTATGACTCTGCAGGAGGCATGTTGGACCTCTGCAGAGAGACCACTGCATCCACAAAGAGAGCAAGGATTCCTCTCTACAGCACGATGACAGACTTTTCTACTCAGTCTGTGGCTGCTTTCCAAAGAAAACTAACTGTATGACTTTGCACACCATTGGTTCTGATTTACCTGTAATGTATTTCGTTGATTTAAACTCAAAGTTTAATTGAACTTTATGCTAATTATAAATTGGGGTACTCATGTTAGTAAATCTATTGCTATTGGGGATTCATTTTTAAATCATGTTATAATTTTATTCAAGCAAAGAAGAAATCTTTACAGGCAAACATAATCAAAATGTACTCTGTTAATTGTACAATGTTTCGAATTACACATTTGTTCTTTATTATAGGGATCATATATTAATGGGATTGTTTAAGGAATTAGTATTTAACCCTAACTGTATGGAGTAATCAGCCATCACAATTTTGTTCACATGAACACAGAGTTGAGGTCCTGGAGTCAATCTCTCATAACATTTTGTGATGTGCTCATAACTGCATGTGAATGGGACATAAGACTGTAAGCTCCACTGGGACGAGAAATAAAGTAAATGGTAAAATGTTCTTTTGAAATTTTTGCAGTATAGGCTGAAACTATGCACATTTACACAGGTTTACATTTACATTTACACATGCACATAGGTTATTCTACTGTACCTGCTGGAGCATTTGGTATAACAGCAAACTGTAGCATTTCCTGTGTGGCAACAGCATTGACTACTTCCTGCTCTACATCCCCTATTCCTCGCAAATCACTCAGTTGGAAAACAAAAGGATCTGTTGCTATTTCTTCTAATTCTTCTCTTTCTGAGTTCCGAATGCCAACTGCAATAGTTGTTACTCCAATACTTTTTAGCTGCTGGGCATGTGTGGTGACAATATCTTGAGATTTTGCAGAGGTTATGATAACTGCAAACTGTGGTAGTCCTTGGTTAATGCGACTCCCAGCTTCTTCTACATAAAAGGTTGTGTGCAAGTAATCCAAAGCACTTCCTGTGTTTAAAGGGCCACCTCTGAAGGTAATGTTTTTAACATGACCTGTAACCTGTTGCTTGGTGTCATGGGTGTTCAGTAAGAACTCTGTCTGTGCGGTCCCACTGTACTGTGCCAGTCCAACACGATATTTATTAATACCCACATCAAGTTGTTCAATTATTCTTGTAATGAATGCTTTAATCTGCTGAAATACTGCAGTTCCAATGCTGGAAGAAGAGTCAACCAGGAAAACAATATCTGCATAACGTTTTGAAGATGCTGAAAAAGATTTTTAAAAATGTAATGCAGTATGCACAACCAATTAACACAAGGAGTGAATCAAAACCACTGAGAATATAGCCAGAGATACAGTTAATCAATCCATACCAACTCAAACCTTGCAAAATCCAGTTGTTTTATGAGTGTGTTCGGTGTATATTTTCTTATAGTAGGCTGGTTTTATATGTAGTGCAACAAAGGATAATCTTTTTGCAGAGTCCAAGTTGGTATGGTAATATAACAACATTACTGACAGGGTTATTCACAAAAGGGTGAAGAGTTTGGAGAAGGCAGTAGAAGTGAACAATCTAGAACAACATAGCTGAACTGGAAAGTAAGTTAAATTGGAGAATTTTCCAAATCACCTTTGTTGGCCTAGCTTGTTCATTTCTCCTGCCTTCTCCAAACTCTTCGTCTGCTTGTGAATCACCCTGTAAATCTCTTACTATCACTTTAGATGGATGTTTATATTACATTTTACTCAATCTTATTACCATATTAAGAAGAAACCAAGAGTATGCCCAACCCTTTATTTGAAAAAGTGGATAATAATTTTTGCCAGTAATGTAAAGAAGCAGGGTTCCCTTGCTTCAAACTTCACTAATCTATTCTCGCTGTGGAAACTCTGAAACCTCAACTGACTTTCACTGAGAAGAAATAAAATTACTTTGACCCGAATGCGAGAAAACACTCATGAGCAGGAAATGTTTCCACTTTTCCATATCTATTTCCACCTAACCACTGGCCACATAACGAGGCACCAATGAAAATCCTTTCTGTGGAAATTATCGTTGTGCGTGGGGTGCCAACAGTCAAACAAATGAGTAAAGGCAAAAAAACTGTGTGGAGGCACCACTTCTACTATACATGGTACTGCTTTTATGGACAAGGGTGAGCACATTTATACCATTGACTTCAAGGCAGACAACTACAACAAATTATTTGGGTTTATGGTTCATCTTATTTGCATATTGACTTTTTTTCAGCTTTACAAACTCAGACAAAATTGTTAATTGCCTACATTAAGAAATCTAAATCACTGCCATTAGACAGGGATGTGCGGTCAGGGGAGGCAGAGCCTGACCTAGTATTATGAAGGAAAAAGCTGTCAGCTTCAAGTCTGAAGCTGACAGCTTTATTTCCATTCAGATCGACTTGTTACTGGTTACATAGCAGGAAAAGCCTCCCCGCTGTGTAACCTGTCATGGACGGAGTGCTGCATCTGGCTTTTGACAGGTAGGTAACCTAACTTAGCTGTCAAAACTTAGCTGTCAAAAGCCAAATGCAGCGCCGCCTGTAATTAACAGGCATTGCTCTGTCCATGACAGGTTACACAGAGGGGACACTTTCCCTGCTGTGTAACCTGTTACACGCTACTCTGAACTTGAAGCTTGAAGCTGACAGCTTTTTCCTCCATAATACAAGATGAGGCTCTGCCTCACCTGCCCCCCCCTGACCACATGTCCCTGCCCTCTACTATTAATAATCTTTAGTAATACTTTTTGTATTTTTGTGAAATCTGCAGGTTGCAGTTATGCTGTGCCCAGCCTAATATGTTTCTCATAATAAATGGCATAGGCGGGCATCTCTGGTCTTCCAGCTGTGCTTTAATTACAAATCCCAACATGCCTCCGCCTCTGGGAGTCATGCCTGTAACTGTCGGTCTTGCAATGCCTTATAGTCCAACAACAACTAGAAGGCATGAGTTGCCCCCTCCCCCCCCCCCCCCCCCCCCCTCCATTCCATGGTCTAGGTGAATGGTGTGTTAAGCGTTTTCTCTCCCTTGGGCTTAGGCCCTAGTGGTTGTATGTTGCAGAAGTCTTCCCTTTTTAGGGGCAGCTAAAGATACTGGGACGTAGTGGGATAACGCAGTTAGCCATAAATAGGCACCAGTGGGTGTCCTCCTTAGAAGTGTAGTATATGATCAAGAGACACTAGAACCTTGATCTCTGAGATGCCAACGTTCTATCTCATATAGCCTGTAATAACAGTGAGTACAGCAAGTATGTACAGAAGATTGGAGTCTGTGTTACGCAGCAATTTTTCAGGAATTCTAAAAAAAAATGCTTTCCTTACTCATTCTCTATGCGATTCACTTACAAAGTGACTGATGACCATTTACTGCTTGAGAAAAACCGATGAGATAGATGTTTCCAAAGCTTTACAGCATCCAAAAAAATCCAATCGCACCTGTTTTGCTGTCTAGTGGTCATTTGCAGTGACTTTCAGGGTAAAAAGCATTCAATTATATGCAATATATGGATATATATGAAAAAAATATATGAATTTGGGATCTATTACAACAGTGTTCCTGACCACATGCCACAAATTGCTTACCTTGAATTTTTGTGACAATGTTGGAACATATGTTACTCAGGAGTTTTGCAGTCACATCTTCAGCAGCATCAAAACTCTCTTGGGGGTAAATGAACTTCCTGCTTGGCTTACTAGCCAACTCCTGTACCTCAAAAATGTCTTTAATATTAGGACCAGTGACATAAACAGAGATGCCTCTGGATTTTAATTTTCTTGCTGGCTGTTTCACCTCATCGGCTGGTTTGCCACTGGTGACTACAACAAGAATTTGGGCAATGTTCTCTGCAGCTCTGCTGCCTGCAGATTCAGTAAAGAACCTGCTACTGACAATGTCTAGAGCCCTTCCAGTGTAGGCAGTCCCTCTTTTATATGATAAGCTTTGTATCCTTTCCAGTATTTCACTTTTTGTGGAATATTCATTAAGTAAAAAAACTGTATCTGTCTCATCACTGTACTGAGCAAGGCCAATACGGACTTTAGTGATGCCAACATCGAGACTAGATACGAATCCATGGAGGAAATATTTTACGTTTTGGAAAGCAGTTTCCTTAATCCGTGTGGAGCTCTCTACAAGGAAAACAATATCTGCCTGATTGGCTTTTCTACAACCTGAAAGAAAAAGGAAAATATATTATTAACGACAATTGACCAATATTGCTGGCTACACTGAAATCGAAAGCTTTTCAGGGGGTTTAAAACTTTCCTTTTTAAACAAAATACTACATTAAAAATGTTTAAAAGGTGTAACTCTATGTCACAAGATGTGTATCTAGTGTACTACGGCAGCAACTTCACATTAATGTGTATTTTAAAGTAAAAATGTCCTGTAAAAGAAGCCAATTTATATTAACCTTTCTCTGTGGCCCACCTCTTAAAATGCAACTTCTTGCAATCCAGCCACTGCATGTATTTGATCCTTCAGGTGGGTCGAATACCTGTTCCCCCTATGCAGTGGGTTCTCCCCCCAGCTCAACAATCCTGCAATGATGTGTGAGCCAGTACAGAGCCGTAGCTAGCTCCTTTTGCGCATGAGGCAAGAACAGAAAATTGTGCCCCACCAACAGACGTGTTATGCCATCTGACGTTGTGCACACACGGCGTCATGTGAAAGTGCGTCCCACCTCCAGGATGGAACTGGTGGCCAAATCCAAAATAGCATAAATATTTCTTTCGTTTGACAAAACTAAAGAAAACATTTTTAGTTTCCGTTCATTTAGTCCGAAACTAGTCTAATAATATGTATGCATGAGTGTGTTTGGGGGGGGTGATGCCTCACTCGCCCCATGGTAGCTACAGCCCTGAGCCAGTAAGTGGAATCTCTGTGTGGATGGAGGAGCAGATATTTATGGTATACACACCTAGGAGTGTTGAATACCTGCAGCTGCCAGGGAGCAGTGAAGCAGTGGCATTTCAAGGCATGGGCTGCTCAAAAGTATAGATGGGCTTTTTTCACAAGGATGATGACGGGGTCACTTTGAAAGTTCATTTAGAATTTAAAGCTAAACTCTGGCCACAAAAAGTTAATTTAACCATATTCTTCAATAGCCTCAAAATATGCAAATCCACTTTTTAGCTTTTGCAAATATTAATAAACATATTGAGGGGAATTTAACAAAACTGGAGCAGACAAAATCTGGAGCAGTTGCCCAGGGCAACCAATCAGCTTCTCTCTTTCATTTTCAAATCTTAACTAAACAAACTGAAGAGAGAACCTGATTGGTTGCCATGGGCAACTGCTCCAGATTCTGTCTGCTCCAGTTTTTATAAATTCCCCTCACGGTCTTGTAAAAGTAACACACAGCCTGTGCAGAGAGTAGAGTTGTAGAATAGACCCAGGAGGTCAACCTGCTACAGGATACCTAAAGAAATCTACTATAGGGAAGTGGACACAGAATTAGACAGAGAGATTAGGCGGGGAGATCAGTGCCTGGTCATTATTACAGGAAATTTCTGACAATGGCAATGTCTAGGAGCCACTTCGTGCTCAACTATTGTACAGATTTGTAAAAAAATATACAAAGACACCAAGGTTCAAATAAGAATGCACATGCCATTTTTATTTAGATATTATTTGTTTTGCCTGGTTTTCGGTTTTATTGTATATGTTAGGGTTAGAACCATTTTTTTCAGGTACGATAAATTGATCAGGGGTTCAGTCAACTTTGTGGTGTTCAAACTGTTGTGCTCAAAGCTACCACACCAGTTTGTGTTACTGAAAACAAATTTACTGATTTTAATATACAGTATGTCCTATAACTATGTCAAGATATATAGGTTTGTACCTTTATTATGCAGTAAGATCTTTTTTTAGAATACATTAATGCAGACGGTGCAAGCTGGCTGCCATGTGTTAGATTCTGGCAGCAGTGCCCCGAGGCACTTAATGTATAAAGGTATAATAAAAACAATAAGCATCTATAAATATATTCATGCTTTGTGCAATCCACAAAGATATTTACATTTTCTATTTTATTCTGTTAGTTCTAGTTTCTATTTCACTTTACTAAAGTGAAATGATATGGCACAGATTGAAGCAATGCTTTATTTCTCCAGATGGTTTGGTTGCTCCAATTTCCTTACAGCTGTTTATAATCATGGAGGAAAGGCGAGTGTAATGAAAGTTCAATACATTCTGTGTCTAGAATTTCAACCTGCAGGCTACAGATTGAGAGGAAGGGAAAGATGGCAGGGCCAAATAATGATTTACCTTGGGCAATCTGACTCATCTGCCTGGTGGCTTCTTCTACTGTAGTGCACAGAACCTGGAGCATGTTTTGGGAAATTCCCTGCAAAGCTGTAAAGTCAGCCACATTATAAACATATTTCTCATCTGGATCGCTGGCTATTTCATTAAGCTCCGTCAAGAGGGCATCCTTTATACCAATGGCATATAAAGTGATGCCTGCCTCCTTTACTCTCCTGGATGGCTCCTTAATATTATCTTGAGATTGTCCATCAGTTATAACCACGGCAATTTGAGGCACTCCATTGTTTGCTCTTCCACCTGCACTTTCTGTGAAGTGATTATCCAACATAAACTCAAGACTTTCTCCAGTTTTCGTGCCCCCGCCTTTGTACTTCAAGGTCCGTACATACTGTAATATGTCATCTTTCCTATTGTAGGAGTTTAAATAAAATTCTGTACGGGGCTCATCACTGTACTGGATAAGACCAATTCGGATCTTATCTTGGCCAACATCAAAGCCATTTATCAAGGTGTACAAAAAGTCTTGCATGCTTTTAAAATTTTCTGTTCCAATGCTCCATGATCCATCCACAAGCAATACAATGTCAGCAATATTGGCTTCTTTACATACTGAAACAAAGAAAATGAACAAACGTTATTTCTTAAGCTGCATAACAAGCTATAACTCCCACACTATTTAAAACTCTAATTCAAATGTGTCAAATAAACAAAGTAGTGGCTCCACTAATAAAAATTTGTTTTTGTTTTTGTCTATGTCCCCATTGGAGAGATTTGCCATTACTTCTTCTCCTGACAGGCCGTGAGGGTAAATCTTTCCAATGGGAGGGTGATAAAAAAAAATGATAGCAGCTGTAACACTTTTTCACTCTAATTAAAAAATATATATTTATCTGAAGCTGGACATTAAAGAGTATGTCAAAAGCAAATATTTTCAGAATAAAATGACTTGTAATTGCATTTTCCTACAGGCTTGTTAAACTGCTCCAAGGGCCCATAAGGGAGGTCTCCAAAGATGAAACAACATTTGGCATGCTCAAACCTCCACAAAAACTGCATAAAGCTGAAAAACAATGCAGTGCGGAGTATTTGTTTTGTTCCGTGGATTACAATATTGCCCCCATGGTGCTTTATTGTTATCCAGCTTGTAAGCTATCTGCATATATTCCTATTTATCTACAGAAATTTGACACCAAAAATGTGATTAAGCCGGAGGATTTTTAGAAAAGAAAAAATTGCTTTTAGGGTCCCTAAGCAAGGTGGAATTAAATGTTGGCACCCATATGGGTGGATGTGGTTTAAAGATATGTCTGTAGCAGGATCCAGAATGTAGTGCAAAGGTCAGGAGCATATTGTACAACAGGGTATACAATGCAGAAGTCAGGAGTATAATGTACAATTTAGCATATACAATGCAGGGTTGAGGAGTATAATATACTACATAGTGAATGCAGTTCAGGGGTCAGGAGTATAATGTACAACATAGTGAATTTATTGCAGTGATCAGGACTATGTAAGATACAACACTGTGTACAGAATGGACTTCATGAAAAGGATTTTACAATGAGAACAAAAAAATTATTGTCTTTCTCATTCACTGAGGGACACAGGATTCAGAACCAATTGGGACGTCCCAAATCAGTCTAACTGAGGGATGGGAAACACAGCAAACAAAATAATAACACTGTTAACAGCAGAAAACTGGAAAGTGACTGCAGAGTTGCCTGAAGGGTCTTACACAAAAAGCTGGCATCAGAAGAAGCTTTCTAATGGAAGAGGTGGCTGCTATGTAGACACACACAGCTTGAACTTCATCCAAACAACAAAGGGAAATTTCCTTCTGATATACTGGTGCCGAACAGAGGAATGGAATCACAATGCTCAGGTTGAGATGAAAGGCTGACACCACCTTAGGAAGGAAGGAGGTTTGAGGCCTTAATACCACCTTGTCGTTGTGTAAAACCAAAAAAGGTTCTTTAAAAGACAAGGCCCCCTAGTTCAGATACGCACCTTGCAGATGCGATGGCAAGAAGGAAAGTAAACTTGTGAGTAATTATGGAAAGAGGAATATACCTGATAGGTTCAAATGTAGTTTTTGAAGACTCTAAATAACCAAATTTAAAACCAGTGACAGGTGATTACACAGGGAGATACATATGAAAACACCCTGTACAAAGGGTTTACTTCATGAATACGAGAATAGTGATCTTTGGAACAAGATTGCCAGTGCCGATATTTGCCCCTTGTTGGTACTCAAAGCAAACTGTTGACCGAGGCATGATTGCAAAGACATCATCCACTGCTTCCACCAGATGATCTCTGCACCTGGAGACAGGGGGCCAACATCTGCCTCTGTGGTCTCTGAGCACTTAGCTGTAGAGGCTATATCTGATTAAGAGTCTTATAAATCCTTGATGGATGATATTGTCCCTATGGAGTACCAGGCAGCAGACATAACTCCTAGGGTTTGAGAGACCTTATTACTGCAGTATAGCCCAACGTAAAGTTGAAAACACAGCCTGTAGTGTGTATGCAGAAAACTCCTGATAAACTGTTTCATCCTCCCAAATGTTTGCTGTCCAATACCCCTTTTGAGGAATTCATTTGAAGAATTGGGCTTTTTTTTTTTACCGTTGATCTGGCAGCGTCCCGTTTGAATGAAGCCCTGATGATTCCTGTAGAGGTAGAGGCCCTGCCTTGCAACCTGTCATGACTGTAATTTTACTCTGTCAAACATTAGGGGAATGGACTAAACTCATGAGAAGGGATCCCCCTTCCCTCCACACTGATCCTTCTTTTGTGGAGTGCTTAGTGCTGTTACCATCAGGCCTGGATTTCTAAATGGGTTAGTGGACATCTTCCATCTTAATTCCCGTATGAGTTTCCTGTCAGTGAACATGTAGAGAATGCTTTTGGTTGCAATGATGGGTTGTGGAGCAGGCACATTAAAAGCGTTTGCTGCGCATGATTTTCCAGGGACAACGGCTCTTCGGAGCTGCCTTAACCCCAGTGACATTGTTGATGAGGGTGTCCAAGAGTACCCATCTTCTGCAGCAGAAGAAGCTTAGACTTCAACCTGGAAACCCCCTACCCTGAGGCCAAGAAGAGTTTCTTTTGTTGCTCAAAGGCTTCAACCTCTAAGACTAAATCCAAGCCAGGAACCCAGTTTCACTGCAAACACTTGGCCTCTGAATCACCCAAACCTGCAGACAAGTCCTCTTTAGCATTAAGGGACACCTCCACTTTCCATAGTGGTGGAATGTCTGTTAGACTTTGTGAACATCTAGATAGACAGCATCTTAGATGCCTGGGTACGGGAGGTGATAGCCACATATAGAGACTAGCTCAAGCAGCTTTAGGATGGGGTCTTGCTGAAGAGAAAAAGTAATCTTAAAAAAGCAACAACTATCATTAAAAATGCTTACACTTTTCTCAGCATGGAAAAGATGTCCATTCTCCTAGGACACTAGTAAGTAACAGTCATGCTGGAAGGGGTTATACCAGACTTTTTTGCAGGTGTCCACTCCTCCTGAGGGTGGCAGTATAACTCAAATGTCTCTGAATCCCATGTCCCTCAATGAAGGAGAAAGAAAAATATATGTAGTGTGGATATTTTTATTCCAAATCAAACTTCCAAGGATGGTTAAATTACTAAAACACTGCAGTTGTTAAATGATTTCTGGAAATAGAAACATTCATTATAGTATAAATGATCCTGAAATATTTAAAAGTAACAGACCAAGGCAACAATAATAAATCTAGTTCTTGTCTGAAGAATGTATGTTTGATGTATTTCTCTAAAGAATTACACCAAAATAAGATTAGACAGTTCCCCAGGGTTTTGCAGTTCTTTAATTAGCCATGCAGTAAAGAATGAAATAAATTAACTTTTTATACTCTTTTCCAAATTTTAAAAGTAATGACAAAACTGGAAGAAACATGTATAGGATTTGTTAATATGCAAGTTTCTTATATATTTTTTGTGCAAAAATATATAAGACTTGCTCATTTAAATGAATTTTACAGTTATCAGGAATGCAGCTGAATTCTGTGCACACAGCTGTTTAGCCCTTATTTGACTTTCAGAGGTGCCACAGGAAGTTCTATAATTTTTTCACATTTCATTTAACTGGACCACAAAAACCAGATAATGTACCATCATGATGTTACAGCCATGCTCAGTACCTTAGTTTCTGGCACCATCAGCTCAATGCTGTTGATTCTGGTGCAGAGCTTCTGGCTAGGTATGAACTAAGGGTCAGGTTTGCTGCTACCATGTGTTTGATGAAAATCCTGCAAGTTTTAGGTTCCCAGGAGAATATTTTATTAAACCATAATGTACAATGTAATGCATAGCCTTTGAACTATGGCCAACTGGTTTATAAGGGCAAATGCGTGGGCATTTGTATAAGCCTGGCCCCTCACTATAAAAGGGGTAAACAGAGCAGCCACAGTGTCAGTGAACTGGAAGCTGTTGTAGGGACAGCATAGGGAAATCTGACAAATCGCACGGGGAGAGATTAGGGTAATTTAGAAAACTGTAGTTTAATTTTGATGTCTAGCTCTGCAGAAACATGACTCTTTTGTCCTTTTTTGTTTTTGCTATTCGAAGCTTTTTTTGTCTTTTATTTTTTTGTGATTGATTTTAGGAGGCAAAAGAAGTGAACAATGTAGGACAACATAGCTGAACTGGAATGTGAGCTGAATTTTTCCAAATCAGTTATTTTAGCCTAGATTGTTCACTTCTCCTGCCTTCTCCAAACTCTTTACCCTTTTGTGAATAACCCTGTAAGTGGAAAAACAGTGTGCAACTAAGCCATCTCACATTTTATCACTCACATTTGCTGCACTCCCCTTTTCCCAGTGATCAAGTAAAAGTTAGGCATACATAAGTTAGGACTATTATCCCTTTTCTAAACTGTCCTGCTGCTGGCCAATTTGCATCCTCCACATAATCTTAATTTAGTAGAACCCCAGCTTGTGCTTTTTGTCTCTATGAAATTTGAGCCTAGCCACACTCATTTAAAATTGTCCTGCTGCCAGTTTTACACTACTGTATCATCTGCAGTCTGTTAATTGCTGTAGTAAAACATGTCTGTACCATTTGTTTCCACTATATTTTGGCCTAATAAACCTAATTAAAACTGTCCTGTTACTAGCCAGTTTTATACTGGTATGTTCCCTGCAATATTTTAATACTTGTAGTAAACCCCAAACATATCCTCCTTGTCTCTAGTAAATTGGAGTCTAGCCTTGCTATGTAAACGTGTCCTGTTATGCTGCTATTTCATATTGACACACTGTTCTGGTGTCCCTGCCAGATTTTCCCTTTTGTCCTGTTTCCATGGCAGATCTTCCCCTCTGTGTTAGATGCTTGGCTGCCAGCCGATTGCAGGTCGCAGGGCTGCAGCCAGTCTGGTCTCCACCTCCCCTATTTAGTGCTAGTTCACCTATTGCTCTGGGTTCAAGCAACGTGTCTTACCTGGCTGCTGGCCCCCCAGTATTCCTAGTGATCCCTGTGTTCCCAGGGATCCCAGCGTTCCTAGCAATCTTTCTCTGTGTTCCCGGAGGTATCCTGTGATTCTTAGTTTCCCTGTGCATTTTTGTATCCCCATTCTTTCTGGATTCCCGTGTACCCCTGAGGATTTCTTGTTTGGCTGTATTCCCTGCTTTGTTGCCCTAAGTGTTCACGTTATATTCTGAGTTCCCTGTGTGATCCTTTGGCTATTGCATCATTTGTTTCTTTGTTTTCACCTGTGTGCTGTGAGCTATCTGTATTGTTGGCACCGCTATACTGCTTTAGTGTTCCCGCACTCCAGCCCCAGTGTGTCTGCTTTCCTCTATTGTCTTGCTTTCTCTGTGCCTCAGCCTGTAGTGTGTCTGTAGTGTGGACTTGCCCATATGTGGTAAATGATGGAGAGAGAGAGGGCTCCTTCTCCAATCTCTCTCTCCCTGCCCTGTGTGAGGCTGACATCCATCAAATCACTGGGGATCCCCAGTGACATCATTCACCATATATGGACTTGCCCACATGTGATAAATGATGGAGAGAATGCTCATATGTGGTAAATGATGAAGAGAGAGAGAGAGGGCTCCTTCCCCTTTCTCTCTCTCTCTCTCTCTCTCTCTCTCTCCCTGCCCTGTGTCACGCTGACATCCTAGAATCACTGGGGATCGCTGAAGAGAGAGGGGAAAAAGTGCTCTCTCTTCAGCATTTACCACATAAGGGCAAGTCCATATATGGTGAGGGCTGCGTGCACAGAGCTTCTGTGCATGTCCATATATTTGTGGACGCGCAGCAGCTCTCAAGAATTACTGTCAGTCACAGTGACGCAGATCAGTGGGGAGGATCCCAACAGTATTGTATTACCCAATTTACTTATTTAGCCTAAGGAATGCAATAATAAAGAAAATATAGAACCCCCATAGTTCTCCTTTAAACCTCAGTGTAATGAACATCTCCTGCATGTGCCTTTCTCTGTATCCCAACCAGTGGCTGTATCACGTATTCTGTGTGGACTCAGTTCACTTTTTCTGTGTGCTGTAACTCCTCAGTGTACCTTGTATTACCCAATATTTGTATATTCTGTACCTCTGTGTGGTATCAGTCTTTCCTTGTGTGCTACTGTCCTTTACCTCCTGGTTAACATCTCTTGTCCTACTTGACACTGAGTTCTGAATCCCGGTGGTGTGCTGTCTCCCCATTCCGACTGTAGTTGGTCAGTCATGTCTGCATGTGTGTGTTGGAGGGCTGCTACCAGGGAGCTGCCCTGCAGCACAACATCCCCACAATCAGGGGCTCTGGAGAAGACCTGGTGCTCCCTAGATTCTACACTATAGCACACCCATGCCAAAAGTGCAGTCACCTTGTCAAAGGGTGTTATGGAAATTCGCTTGCATTAAGCGCACAAATCCAGGCCACGCTAAAAGTGCACCAAAGTGCAGCAAAAACAAGCAATTTCGCCGTGCTTGAAAGCATGTGTATTAAGCTCTTTTGTGCAAGGAAAGGCAACACTCATGCAGAGTCAGACGAGATACTTCATGGTGGAGATTCTGTGACCAAGTGTCTCCTTACACCCGCTCCATTTATTTTTATAGATGTCAAACAGGAAGTGATGTCAAACAGGAAGTGATGTCAACAATCGACAACACACTCAATACAATCCTCAATACACCAGCATATCATAGCCAATGAAACACATGTATACAATAGAAAAGGGAGTGTATGTCTGTCATAGTAGAAGCAGCCTGGTTGCCCATGGTCGCCGCCATCTTTAATCTCCCGTTACCACTGGAGTGTGCTTTATCCAGCATTGCTCAGTGAGCAATGCCCAATAAAGTTATTATGATTCTCATGAATGCGAGCTTATCTGCAGGGACAATGCCATACTATTTCAAGCGCGCTGATCAGACGCATCAGAAATACAAACACACGTTCCTTTCAAAAAGGCAGATATGTATCTTAACTAATACTATGTCCTCAAAGCAAATGCATCCACGCCAAGCCAATAAATCCGCGCATCGTGCAGGGGCCCTAGCCGGCGTCCACACACTCGCTAAGAAAACATTGCTCCGCCATCCACAGGAAGATATCCACTCCAATGGTTTACCCCCAGTGCCGATTAATCCGGGTCACGCTCCAATGGAGTGTGACACAGTAAACCTGACACTGAGAGCCATGATGACAATAATACTGAAAACACATCCTTTTAAAATTTCCACAACAAGGGACAGGCCAGGGACATTTAGGCTGTGGAGGAAAGCGTTAGATGATGCTGGATGTCCTCCAGCCTGGATATAAGATGGGCTCTGTTTGGCTTGGTGCAACTTATAACTCACACCAGTGTAAACTCCCTGTGTTTAGAATCCCTAGTGTCCTTTCACTCACTGTGACTGGTGTCCCTGCCCTGATTCCTGCTCTGTTGGTCCCTGGCTTCCTTCTCCTGGAGGCAACATTTCCTAGTGCCTTCGGTTCCCAGATCATGACACATTTGCTGTCTTTGGGATTTTTCTAGAAACTGGCCAGCCACATGACAGTTTTTCAACAGTAAGACTGTAACACAGTGTACAGCTTTAGGGCCTCCCCCAAGCATGTTATGTAGAAAATGTGTGAATTTTCAATGTTGCCCTCAAAGCCACATGGAAAGATCCTCTCCCTGCTGTACAGTATTTAAATTATTGTTCTGCATCGGTACATGGTACCTTTATCAGGGTTAACGTCGAAGTTAAGCCTGATGAAGGGACCCTGGGGGGTCCCGAAAGCATTTGTTTCCATTTGACAACTGTTCAATAAATGAACTTTTGGTGTTTCTAAAAGGAATTTTGGTGTGCTGGTGACATTTCTTTAAAACATTTATGTTACCTAGGGTGGTCTGGATGCAAATGCAGTCTGCCTAGGAATTCTCACACCTCCAGACCGACATCCACCCATTAAGACATTTTTCATAGCTGCTACCAAGAGCCTTCCATTAAGCGAATGGTTTATTGTTATGCTGCCACCCAGAGGTCACTGTTTTTACTGCACTAATTTTTCTGTAATTCTACCCTTTGTATAATGTAATTTCCTCCTTCCTCATTGTAATTTTGTGCTTTGTTTCCTGCAAGTCAAGGAGGAGAGGAGAGAAATATTCCTTTTGACCATTGCAAACACCATCTACTGTTTGCCTGAACCCTTCTGTGTGCAATAAAGATATTTGATGTGATCAGCTATCTGATAAGGATTGTTTGCAGGGATTGTCTCTGCTTTATTCAGGCCAGGCATAGAGGTGTCAGGAAGGGATAAAACAATATTAGAACAATTGGAGTCAGGATATCCTTCACCAGGCATGGGGGGCAGTGTATTCTTTTATATGTGCAGGGGTAGTTTTTTATGTGTGTGGGGGGAATGTATTATTTTATATGTGCATGGGTAGTTTTTTTATGTGTATGGGGGGTGTATTATATAATATGTGCAGGAGTAGTTTTTTATGTGTAGGGGGGTGAGTGTATTATTTTATATGTGCAGGGGTAGTTTTCTTATGTGTATGGGGGAGGGGTGTGTATTATTTGCTGCAGGAATCCCTAATTGCACCTTAACTTACAAATATGAATAGGGACTTATTGTCTATGTATTAGTGTCCGAAGTACCATACTGGATTTAGTTACATTTTATTTTGAAGTTTGAGATTTGGCAAGCGGCCCCCATGGGAGAAAAAAATTGTGGCCCCCGAGTGAAATGAGTTTCAGACCCCTGCTCTAAAGTAACGGAAATCCTCCCTTGGTCAGCTGTCACCTGAACAAGTGTCCTCAATGGAAGACTCCCCCTCTTTTCCTGCTCTGGTAATAACTCAAAATTTTTGATTTTCATTCACTTTTCACTAGGACAAACAGAGGGGGCAAATCTCCCTAGTGGGGAAACACATAGCAATAAAACCTGACAGGGCTGCTATCCCTTTCCAACTTTATTACAAATGTATCTTTCAGATTGTAAGCCCTCAGGGGCAAGGCGCTCCTTACCATCTTGTCTTGAATTGTATTGTGATTGTAATGTCTTCCTTATATTGTAAAGCGCTGCACAAACTGTTGGCGCTATATAAATACTATGTAATAATAATTACAAAGTTTAAAAAAAATGACATTTGACATAATTTAAATATACAGTTTTTAAGTAAATACAATTAAGTATTTCATAAGTGAGACATACTATATTTCACACTATTTGGCATTATGTGAGTTTCATGGCCCATGTTTTTCTTTGTTCTCCTGTGTCTCCAATGTAATGCAAAATGACAGTTGAAAGATTACAGCTGAAAGAATATTGCATGAGCATACCTCCCATCTATCTCTCATTTGAAAGCAAATCCTTCTGTCCCTCTTTTCTCCTCAGTTGTCCCTCTTTTTGGTCTGATGTACAGATATCTATGACAAGGTTCTATTTAACCACTAAAAGTGTTATTCTGCACCAGAACCTTTCTTTTATCTCTTAATTATCTTGTTTGCTATTTGGAAAAGCCAGAATATAGGAAACATAATGGTGAGAAAAAAATATATTCATATAAATTCTTAATAGTCCACAAAACTGGGGACATGGCAGGTGTGGCGTCCATTGGTTAAATGCATTGTGCTGGAAGGTGCCCCTCTTAATCATCTCAGAAAGGGAGATGTATAGGAAGTATGCATGACCATGATGATAATGCACTGAAATGTACATATACATATGCATAAAACTTTCACCACACAACAGAAATTTGAGCTTTTTTGCAATCATAGAATAGGACAGATGGCTAGCACACTGGTAACAGACTTAAATTGACTTGCAATAAAGACCTCAATATAAAGTAATCTTGTACACTGCTTGTTATAAAAAAAAAAACCACAGATGCATACCTGTTTTCTGTGTGTTTGTTACGTGAACAGTAAATCCAAAGAACAAGAAGAATAAAAGTGATTTAAGGAGTCCCATTTTCTATGATATCTGTGATGAAAAAAGAAGAAATATAAAAAAATTGAGTATATATGCGGCATATATGTGCTGGAAGCTGTTATGAATCTTAAAACATCCCATTCATTGGTTGCTAGGAGTCCTCTGGAGTCCTAGCACCCAATTACTGATCCTTGGTCCATTCAGCTGGCGGCCGGGAGATTCCCCAGCTGGCAGTTGAATTTAAACATAGGGGCCGGGGATGCTGGCCTAATATTCTTAACCACATATGGCCACATTTGGGTAATGATGTCTGCCAGCATCCCTATTGTTTACATTTAGTTGTCTCAAATGACTGAGTGGATGGGTGCCATAGCCAATAGCAGGCTGGCTATGGCACATATCCACTGCCAGCTAGAAATTAGCAGCAGAGCAGACCTGATGGGGAACTCAGTTCTCAGAATTACTCATCATGCTTTGCCTACTCAGTATCACTGACAGTGGGAATCACTGGTTGTGGGCATCACTACAGCCGACAAAGTCCTAATGTCCAATGATGGCAACAGTAGGCAGGTGGAGCCTGATGGGTGATTCTAAGGACTGAGCTCCCCATCAGGTCCACTTTGCTTCAGATTGACAACAGGCAGTGGGTGGGTGCCATAGCCAGATTGCTATTGGCTATGACACCCATCAACTGCCAGCTGTCAATCTGAAGCAGAGAAGATGTGAATGGGAACTCAGTTGTCAGGATTCCCCATCAAGCCCCACCCACCCACAGTCTTCCTGCCTGTGTAATACAGAGCTCAGTGATGCTGATGAGACTGATTTTATCAGGCTTAGCATTACTAAGCTGCACTGAGACCGCAATGGACACTCCAGCCTCATTCACCTCTACACCACAAATAGCAGTGCTTGTGCAGAAATTAAAGTACCTGTTGAATATGGTGCAAGCACCGACATTTGTCATGCAGATGCAGTGCCATAGACACTCTTTATTCATTCCTGTGAATGTATTTTAAAACACACACCTTAGACATGCAGATATATTTCCTTTATGACATACTTTGTAACATATTAACAGGAAAGCAATCATGAATTAATATTGGTGTTTGTCCTTTTACATATGCATCTGGGCTCACGTCTTATCTTTGGCAAAAAAAAAAATGTTTTCAATATGAAACCATTATTGTACAAGCCAGGGTGCTCGGTAAAATCCTGGACTCTGACCTCACCTTTCAGCCCCACTTCAAATCACTGTCCAAATCTTGCTGCCTTTACCTCCATAACATTTCCAAAATATGACTCTTCCGAACCATTGAAGCCACAAAGCTACTAATTCACTCATTTGCTATCTCTTGTCTCAACTATTGCAACTCCCTCCTCATTGGCCTACCTCTACACAGGCTATCCCCCCTTCAGGTTTTCATATTACTTCTGCCACCCACTAACTGCACAGTGTCGGCCTACCCTCTCTGCCAGTCCTTCCACTGGCTTCCAATTAGCCAAACAATACATTTCAAAATATTACCGACTTAGAAAGCAATCCACAACTCTGCCCCAGGTATATATCCAACTTCATCTCAAAATATCACCCAAACTGTCCTCTCCACAAGACCTTCATTCTAGCTCCCTCGTCACCTCGTCCCATGCTTGCCTCCAGGACAACTTTAGATTGTGAGCAATCACAAGCAGGACCCTCCTAATAATCTTGTCTTGAATTGTATTGTAACTGTACTGTTTCCCTTTATATTGTAAAGTGTTGTGCAAACTGTTGGCACTATATACATCCTGCATAGTAATTATACAAATAATAATAACAATAATACATATTTTGGTGGGAATTTTTGCTTTGTAATCATTTTTACATTTTAAAAACATGAACATCTAAAAGGGCCTCTTTTGGCTTTCTGTCTATGATTATTATAAAGTTTAATGTTAGTGTACTCTGGACTAAACAAACCAAACAAACAGTGGAATAAGCAAACTTACGTGAGAAGCAAGCCTGGAGGGTAAACCAAGCCTGTATATACATGCTTTTTGCTAGTGTAATACACTTTTGTCAAAAAGTTATATAGCTCAGGAAAAAACCCTGTAGCTGTTTTGTTATACTGAAAGATTTTTGTTAAAATTCTTCACAACTTTTAAATTCCTTTTAGGACACCAGCTAACAAAAAATATTTGTAGCCACTTCTGCAAAAATAAAAAAATTTCTTAATACATTTTTATTAAAGAATGTAAGTGACATATAGGGGTCTATTCACTACGCTGCCGTAGGCAGCCGAGTGACTAACTGACCCGAACGCTGTTCGGCTATTCACTTCAGGCTGGTACGGCTGATTTCAGCCGTATATCGGCTGAAATCAGCCGTACATCGGCTTGCTTCGTGTGGCTTCGAAACAGCCGAACATGCTCAGCATGTTCGGCTGATCCGAAGTGCAGAAGGAGTTCGACTCAGCCGATCCAACATCTGGATCGGCTGAGCCGAACCTCCGGCAGGCTTCACACTGCTGTTCGGGCTATTCTGAAAGATCCCGAACAGCAGTGAGAGAATAGCCGAATGCCGCCGAGCGGCATTTGGCTCGGCTGTTCTGCTCGGTCCCTCAGAGGCACCGAGCAGAACAGAAAAAGAGTGAAAAAAGTAGAAAAAAGTAAATAGAAAACGATTGTGCAGAGCTAGCAGTGACAGCTAGCTCCGCCCAATAGTTTCCTATTGTCCGGCGGCTCTGCTGCTGTAAAAAAAAAAAAAGTAAAAAAAAAAAAAAAAAAAAAATTCCAGCCGTATATCAGCTGAAATCAGCCATACATCAGGTGGCTTCGGCTGGCTTCGGGTGAAGCTGAGCATGTTCGGCCGACCCGAAGTGCGGAAGGAGTTCGACTCAGCCGATCCAACATCTGGATCGGCTAAGCCGAACCTCCGGCAGGCTACTCGCTGCTGTTCGACCTATTCTCATAGATGCCGAACAGCAGTGCGTAAATAGCCGAATGCCGCTGAGCGGCATTCGGCTCGGCTGTTCTGCTCGGTATCTCTGTGGTACCGAGCAGAATAGAAAAACAGTTACAAAAGTAGTAAAAAATAAAATAGAAAACGATTGGGCGGAGCTAGCATGGACAGCTAGCTCCGCCCAACTGTTTTCTATTGGCCGGGCGGTTCTGCTGCCGTCAATCACGAGAGGGGGACCTGATGGAGAACTGCAGGTCCCCCTCTGCTTATTGACAGCAGCAGTGGGCGGGTGCAATAGCTAGTTTGCTATTGGCTATTGCAAATTGAAAAAGCCAATAGGATTCTAGCTAGGCATTCCTATGGTGATTTTTTTTTAAAATTATTCTGAAGGCAGTCAACGGCTCCAATGTCAGAAAAAAAAAATAACCGAGCAGGGAAAGGTTTACTCGGCTCAATCGAGCAGAGTGAACCTTTCTGGGAGAAAGTGTTTGTCGTATTAGACTCCCAGAGCGTCCAGGAGAGTAATGACAGATGGCGTTCCTGGTTACCAGGTAGCCGGGAAAGCCATTTGTCATTACACACTGAGAACACGGAGAGGCCACTCTCAGTGTGTAATGACAGCGCCCCTGGTTAGCTGGTAACCGGGGACGCTGATCTCTCTTAAAGTGGTCGGAGCCAGCCGTGAGATGACGGCTGGCTCCGCCCAGCTTTCAGAATCAGGCTGTCGGATGGCCAATGGCCGGCCATTCGGCCAGCTTCGGCTTCATCGAGGCATATGCCTTCGGCTCGACTGAGCCGCTCGTCAACTTCAGGAGCTGTACGGTTCTACTGAACGGAAGGGGTCCTGGAGCCGAAGCTAGCCGAAGGATCAACCGAAGCTATGGCTAGATCCTTCGGCAGCTTAGTGAATAGACCCCATAGTATGCTTCCATGTGTTACAATTAGTACTGAGACATTCATACTAAGAGGATTAAACTGAGAAAAATTAAGCATTTGAAATTGTGTTACACAGTAATATTTGCTAGTGCATAGTGTAATTTCATGAAATACATGAAGGGTGTACTAAAAAAAATTGCAGAGCCATTAATCTCGCAAAACTGTGCATTCTGTGCAAATGGGGCAGAAATTAATGTCATTAGTATATATATATTTTTTTTTAAATATAATATCATGAAAATACTGCATTATGGCGACTGGATGGATCTAATCACAGGAAATTAATTTCATATGTTCCTCGGCTCCACCTATTGGCCAGGCCGTGGTATTTTCCTGATTCACTCTAATAAATTTATTACATTCGATCTGAAAAGAACACATACTAATAACGTATGTTTTTAACCCATTCACACAGAACAAACGTGCATGCAGTTTCACATGACAAATTTTTAATAAAAATTTGTGAAGTGAAGAAGTGAGTCAAGGCCAGTGTTATTCTATAACCCTGCAGGAAATGTAAAGTAGGCCTGGCTACTAAGTCACTGATTCGAATCAGTGAATCAACTCACTACAGATTTCGAATAAATCGAATAATGAAAGTGAATGTGATTCAATTCACTGTCGAAGATCCTCCCCTTTCAAAATGAGAGAAGGAGGAAGCTGAAAACAGCCACAGCTTATGATTTGTAAAATAAGCTATAGCATGAGCTGTGTGAGGCAGCAAAAGTCTGAATATCTGAATGAATCACACAGCATACAAGATTCTGTTTTGTACTTCTTGTACTGTACTGTACAATGATTAATAACTATTTTGCTGTATTGCAGAGATTAGTAGCACAGTTATTATTTTTGTATACTATACAAAAGCAGAATAAAGTTACTTAACATTTAATATGCTGACTAGATGTGTGCCTATGTCTGTATATTATGCATGCATTGCACTTTAATACAATAAGACAGACACAAAGTCAGATATATTTTCAGAAGAGTTTAACTAATAGATTTATCTGCAAACGTATCTGAAAATTACGTTATAATCACGTAAGGGAACAGTTGTGACCGAAATTGTTTATTGAGTATTGGTGTTTTTCCTCATTATAATTTCCTATTAAAGTTAATGAGAGTCAAAGATTTACAATTGTACATATAAAACAACTCTGAATGT